ACTCGATTGACGTACTGAGATAGTTCAGTACTTGATCATTTTATTCCACCCGAGAATTCGAAGCGATTGAAAACCGTTTGAAAGAATCAATAAACTGCAATTCAGTAAAAGTTGCAGAATTTTACTTTTGTGTTATATGTAGGTATTTGTAAATTATCTCAAAAGAGGTAGTTAAAGGGCAAAATAGGTAGTTGGAAATATGGTAGGTATCCTATATGTATATTTCACCTACCTAATTTCATAAAAAAACTCTTTTCACATTTTTTCTAAAGAATTGGAACGTTTTTTTTTTTAAGAAATATTCTGTTAATACATTATCACAAATTGTATAAAATTTGCTATTTTAAACATGTCTTTTCTAGTTGTCGATCTTATAAAAAACAGACAAGGTATATTATATTTTATAGTCGTATTATTAAAGAAAATTTATGGACCATCTAATGTGCAATCACGCGACACCGAGTAGTGAAATATGCTGGAGAAAGGCCGGATTTCATTTTCACAACATTAAAAAACGAAGACAGATTCGATATTAATAAGAATTTCTCTGTAACACCAACGTATTCGAAACAAACGCCTTATTTTCTCGTAGAGAAAAAAATTTAATTAACAACTAAGCTTACTCAAGGCTGAATAGAAATTTACGGACTAGATTTACATTATACTTATTATATTGTTATATGTCTAAAAATTGTAGACTTTGAGTGTTTGTTTAAACGCACTAATCTCTTGAACTGGTTCGAATTGAACAATTTTTTTGTGTTCATTAGTCATACACTTATATCGTACGGCATTGCTTTTTAAATAAACTTAGAAAATACAACATTCAAAATTGAAAAATCACACTAAAAGTCTTCTTGAATTTGAATCTATTCCTAAGCTCATTACTTTAATATACTGTTTCATGTATGTCGTATATAGTATTAAGTCTGTTTGCTTAGTTCTATGTCATATATAAAATTAGGCCAGTTTTCTTGCTTCGTCTTGCACCAAAAAATGGCTCAATCTCTGGATAACCCAAGGTCCACATATATCCATTGTGCCTAAATTGTCTAATAAATAAATAAGTTTAATAAATAAAAGACTGACAAATTCCTGCAACAAAACTCAAAACGGACTAAAGCAAAATTTCCAGTTATCGAAACTGCCATCCGTACCGCATAAACGTATCAAAATAACACTGGCCATGTGGAATACTAATGCGGGCCTAACAGACGAACTGTGAGACAATACAACGTGCGCTTGCACATAACAATATTAATAGATCGCTATTACGTGACCATACTGCACTCGCTTTGTCTTCTACGTAACTCGATGAATCGATGCATCGGTGATGTATTCGATTACCGATTCTTTTGTATCGATGCTTTTCCTGATCTGCTTATAAGGGTTAGATTTTATTTTGTGTATAGAATATAATTACGCATATATAGAAATGTATTTTTAGTGATTCATTATCATTTAACTTTTACTTACAATAGTTCAGTATGCTACTTACAATAGTATTATGAATAAAATAGATATTACTTACATAATATAAGGCCGATAGAAACCTACCTCAACGTGTAGAAAAAGGTTTAAGCATATTCGTATAAGATATTAGTATATTTATGGAATGTACCGACCTATTACATAAAAAAATAAATTATATTAATAGAAAATTTTAATAAATATAGAATTCTTCATTTAAAACTTATGTCTATGTATGACGTATCAGGTTGCGAAGTCTTTTTTTTTATGTTGTTTTTGAAACTTTGATTGTTGTTACGGTTACGCCAGTTATAATAATAATGAGGTTACCGATTTAATTGATGGAAAATTTCATCGTGTGAATGAAGTTACCAGAGGGCCAAACCAAACCCCCATCTCCGATTTTTCGAATCCTGAAAAGGCTGGCAACACATTTGTTACTCATTGGGGGTTTCAGACGTCGACTGCATACCATCAGTTGAACCATTTGCTCGTTTACTCCCTACCCCATTAAAAATAAATACCTTCAGTAAGAAAACAGTTCGAAGTTAAGCGTCTCAACAAAGTTTTCGACCTCCAATAAATAATAAACGGGCCCCAACTAGTAACAATCTTAGGAAACTTAATACGACAAAAACCGCCCAATCAACTGATACATTTTTCGCATTCAAAAATAGAATTGTCAGTTAGTACAGCTATCGAGCACAGTTAGTACAGCTACGATAGCTGTCACAGAGTCGAGCGGCGCATGAGTGGTCATACGTATCGCATGTCGGACTGAGTCACCGCAAGGCGATCCCAGCTGCAAGGTGACTGGACCTCCTAATACGGGTCCATTACAAACCTTCAACTTTACAAAGACATTTCGTATTGAATAACATATGAATTTCGTTGATTATGACACTTTTTGAGTCATTGCCTTCATGGCACAGTGGGTACTTCAATACCATGCATGTACCATAGTAATGGTTGTTTTCGAATTGATATAAAATGGTTATAAAATGGACGGAGTGGGTAAAAAACGGATGATTACGAAGGAGATCTCTAATTTGCCAAAACTACAAAAAATCTAACCGACAAGATACTTCGTTGTTTCAATGAGTCCCAGTATGAAATAAAACAAGAGTACTAAAGAAAATCTGAAATTGTGTCCAATTATATTACCAGTGATGAAAAATGTGTGCTAGTAGCATAAACATAAAGTTAAGAATGTAAAAACAATATCTTTACTATTTGCTCCTTTTCCTACTTGGTGGTACGTAGAAATACTAGTGTAATGGAGTAATTACACCTTCAAGCTGAATCTTGTAAGCATTGTGAAACAGTATGTGTACTTATAACACCTTAATTACTCAACAGAACCGACCTTTTATTACTTTGAGTACATCTCCACCATTAGCTGTGGGTGTGAGTACAAACCTCTTTACCCGATGCAGTAAAAATGAGGGTAATGACTTACCTGACTTATGTAAATCTATATCTATACATCCGTTAAACATTACAGATAAAACTATTCGTCATCAGAAAGCAGTACTGACGATAGTAAGTCGGATTGATAGTTTTAAATTGTTTTTGTGGCACCACGCAAAAATATGTGCGAAGATTTTTTACTACAATTTCTATAATTAAGCATTAGTCGCTTTGTGTATTCTGGAAGGTGAATAACAATGAAGAATATGAACAGTAAAATCAAGTTATTTGCAAAACATTAACAGGGCGTAATTCTTTATAAAATCTGTATTGAATTAAATCCTTTTTGGAAAAATAGTTAAATTTTTTTCAACTCGAGAACCAGATCTACAGCTTGGCTACCTACAATTGCACTTGTTCTATTCTATAAACTTTCGATATTACGGTACACTTATAACATAGATTACAACCTATATCAATGTTATGATACAAGTATTCTTACGACAGCTGGTTTACTTAAGGTCGTCGGTTCACCTGGCCAGAGGGCATCACGCAACACACAATAATCATCATTAACCAGATGGACTGTTAAGTCAACATACATTAGTGCGTTTTTTCCCAAGTTGTACATACATATAATTATACCCTTTGTTAGAAACGTCTCCTATTCCAACAATAAGATGATAAGTTGAAGACAAACTAGGATTCAGACAACACAAACAAACTATGAATTCTAGTTTGCCTACAGTAACTACATTGTTGCTCAAGTAGGTACTTAATCCCCTCTTTTTTGTCAGGGGAAAATCATCAAATTACTCCTCCCGCCCAGGGTTAGCCGAGAGAGTTTCAGATTTTTACTGATTAAAATCCCCCCGTTTCTTCTCCTGCTCTGGGGCGAGGCCGCGGTGACTTATTGCGCTTAACCCGCAACCCCGAAAGTACTTCATCCCCTAGCATTACATTTCATTTTGGATCCAAAAAAAGAATATCAAAAGAAACATCTAATTTAAATGTCCAGAAAATATTCCAAATTTAAATTCCTTTATTAAAATTATAAAAAAAAATTAATTTTATTATAAAAAATTATAAAATTTCCTTTATTAAATTTATTAAAATTCCTTAATTTAAAATCCTTTTAGAGTAGATGCTCTTTAACACAACCTCTTTACCTTTTCAGGAGCTAATACACCAATGACTGTTTACTGTTATCCAACAATAAGTTGTTTACGGTGCATAAATATAAACATGAGGTAGTAATTATGAGCATTTCAAACTGAACATTGCCGTGTATGATGCAAACTTGTATCAACTGGTGTCGCCACGTGACAGGTTTTTACTGTGATCTATGGTTAACACGTGATACAGAGACTTACATAATTACACAGCTCTACAGATGAAGTACACGTGAATCAATTGTTTATTACCTATTCTGTCTACTAGTCTTTCTCACGATTACATTTTCTGAACTAAAATACGTATACAGACGTTTTTATCTTTGACTTCTTTTACAACAAATATTGGAACTGTTTATAATATTGTTGACACCTTTTCTGAAAACGTCTTCATTAACAAGTAAATGCTTCCACTTACATCCCCGCAAACAGAATTAGCCCTAAACCTATTGACTTTAAGATCCCCAATTAGTCTACACGTTCCTTTTACTTTTTTGCTCAGTTCGCAGGAGATCCAACCAAGCACAGCTACTATTAGTCCTTGATGTACCTATTGCCTCATTGTAGTAACAACATCATTGCGTACAGTGTTGTAAAACTTGGAAACGTTCCAAGTACATGCACTATCCTTATCACATCATAACAATTGCTCAGTTGCAGTTGGCTTATTGTCAAAATAAGAAAAAAATTAAGTGTGGGCGAGCCCTGCTTCGGCACGAATAGGTGGGCTCGACCGGAGTGATACGACGGCCTCTCAGAAAACCAGCGTGAAGCAACCACAGCGTTGTGGTTCGTCGTGTGAGTGAGGTTACCGGAGGCCCAATCCTTCCCCTTCACCAATCCCTATTCAATCCCAAAATCTCCAAATCCTTAATCCCCAAAAGGTCGGCATCGCACTTGTAACTCCTCCATCGTTACGAGTGTCCATGGGCGGCGCTGATTGCTTACCATCTGGTAATCCTCGTTTGCCGACAAATTGGTCATCTTTTAGGATATGACTTTCTACAGCGTTTGAATCATTCATTCCAAAGTTGTTTAAGGCTACCGATCTAACCAAAAGTTTCTCTTGCCAAATATAACTGAGTTTAAGGAAGAAGCCACCCACTGGTGAACATAAAAGAGACGAGTTGTGGAAAAGAATACAACGTTCAATTACGAATGCCGTTTTTGCCGTGAAAGCGAGCATGGGAACTGTTTTTATTGGACATTGAAGAATTAATGTTACACTTTTTTTAAAGAAATTACGCATGCGACGTAACTAAGCGAGCATCTGTTTAGTAGCTGTATTTGTTAACGTAATACAGGTAATTAATTATATTTAATAAGATTTTCACTTTATACAAGACACATATTTTTAATTGTACTTGATCATTAATCATTGCTATCACTTATACGCAAGACTAGCTTTACTGATTACGTTAACATTTTAAATCTGCATCCCTTTAAATAACATTAGTTTGTAAATAAAAAAGATCTATTTAACTGACAATTAATTAAAGGTCAAAGTACTTAAAACCAAGCTTCTAGATTCATTAAAACGGGTAATTACTTGAACCTAGGTTCATTTGGCTGGGTGCTCAAAATTTTACCAACTAAATTATTAATTGAGCCATAAAATCCGCGGGAAATCTCTCACGAAAATCTAAAGGCTTTTGAACCGACAAATGGCCTTTCATCCACTCGAATTTACTTTAATCGAGGCGACGTAGAAATGCGGTAGTTAGCTTGTTGGAATTTACATAAAACGGCGCTCCCACGGCTGCGCAGGCGCAAGGTGAACTGGCTATTCTTAATTTGTCGTTTACTGAGCCCAATGTGCGTGAATGGTGTTGTGTAATACACACACCATATTGTTAATCCTTTCTTCATCTAGTTTATTTGATGCTGTGGTACTTAGATGTTTGCTTAGCAACTGCTGACTATTAATATTTTTATTTAACTTCTCGCTTCTCGGTTCCTATCGGTTAAAGCGTGACGTCTTATAGCCTTCCTTAATAAAATGCAACACAAAAATAATTGTTGAATTCTAACCAGTAGTGCCTGAGATTAACGCATTGCATTGAAACAAACAAACAAACAATCTCTTCATCTTTATAATATTAGTATGGATTTACTTTGTACTCAGAACTTATCGATATAATATCTCTTACTTCTTCGTTTCTAATCACTAAGATTATATTGGTTCTAGCAAATAGCAGACGCATGAGTTTGATACTGCACGATATGAATAGACTGTACCTAATACTACATTAGTGCCATCTACGGAACGCAAAAACGGTAACTCTCATTAACAAACACGTGCTTAAGATAAATACGTCCTCAAATTGAAATTAAACAATGATCCGGAAAAGAAAAACATGTTTCACACTTCAATAACAACTCAATAACAATAACTGTACTATAAAGTATCTAAACAAAGAGTTATCCAAAACCAATTGTCGTGACAAAGCACATTGCCACATACATGCATAAATTACCAGTAATATGTGTGTGTTTTAATGTAATAACATACTGAAGTGGCATGGTGATACAATGTATTATGGCTATTAAATAACCTTTAAGTGAGATGGAAATAACCAAGGACTGTCTGTTATTTATGATATTATGATATAACGATTGTAAGTATTGTAACTGGTGGATATATCTATACTAATATTATAAAGAGGTAAAATTTGTAAGTTTGTATGTAGGGGGTAATCTTTGGATCCCCTGGTCGAATTGCCAAAATTCTTTCACTGATAGATAGCTACAATGTTCCTAAGTGACTATAAAACATCACGCTACGATCAAATGGGGCCGAGCAGCGGGTGAAACCGCGCGAAAGTAGCTATTAATAATATAATAATGATCGAAAAATGTGTTGGTAAGGATATAAGTTTTCAAAGACTTGACAAATTTTGCTTATATTTTGTCTTTTGTTATGTTGATGTTTATTTCTTATTGCCAAAAAAACGTTGCTCTCAAAGATTTTTTTAAATACAGAGGATAATCTGAAAATGAAAGACCCTAGCAAGTTATTGACCCAATTATATTCGGTTTATGAAATTATTTAAAACATTAAACTCGTTATAAATATCATGCATGTCGTTGCTAGAAATGGCAAGCTAAAATTATTTTTGAATTTCTGTGAATTTTACATCCAATGCATTTAAATATTCTTCAGTTATTAATTTTGTTTCTTTGTACCGTAACGTAATTTGTTGAAATGACGATTATGATTTTAGGAAGACTTTTTTCGGTTTTTTTTCCTAATTACATTTAACAAGCTAAGAAACAAACGCTCTTCTGCTTCAACGTGTATCATTGGTAAAGGTATATGAATTTGAAAGATTGCGATACGTACTGGTCGTGAACTAATGACCTATTCGTGTTCGTAATTATACATGTGGACTAAACAATCATCATGTAGACGTTTCCCAGAAGCATTAAGTCTTAATGTGTAACGGGTAATGTTAGCAGAAGGACAAATAGATAGCCTTTTTTGTGAGGAGAATTTAATAATTATCAAATGACTTCTCCAGCCCAGTATGAGGCTAGAGGGAGTGTCACACTCTCTTACTGACTAAATGCCCGTTCCTTCTCTTGCTCTAGGCCAAGGACAAGGTACCTTATTGTGCTTGCCCCCACAGAAAAGCCGACCCTGCAAAAAGTCAATAAGGACTGCTGATAAAGTCGTGACAGCAAAGAAGTCTGCGTACCGGCAGACGTGGAACGGAGACCAACACGACCCCAACTCATTAAGCAGCGAGGCTAGCGTGGTTGGCTCTGAATGGTGGAGATTGTGTGTTAAACATTTTTACTACGTATATTATATGTATCACAGTCGACGGGTTTAACGAGCCATTTAATTAAGAGCCTAGCCTATTTATATTGAACCATTCTGACAGCTGTTTATTTCTCACAGCGGTTCAATTTCGGTGAGGTCCACAGTTCTAACTTAACCTAACTTACCCACTACAACCTACTTTGTCGTGACAATCCCTTCACCCTTTAACTAACAGCCTGAATGAAAAATTTAGGCATACAATCAAACGACTAGTAACTCAGTCCGTTGGTCGATACCTTATACAACTATTTGGGTACGAAATATGCTTATCCGTATAAAAACATCTCACCAAATATAATGCACAATTAGTAGCTTTAATTGAGCTTCCGTTTCATTCTTATTACTGTTTTTTTTTTAAACAATACACGGACAGGCCAAAGCCGGGACTATAGTACTTCCGAGTTGAGTTATTTTAAATCAGTAATTGGCTTATAAATACATTTATTTAATTACCTCAGTTATTTCAGTGTACTCGGTATTTGAATACTCGTAAATGGATTTTCATTAACATGAACATATAATAATTGGGTTAATTTTAAATTAATAATTAATTGTGTATGCACATTCGTTTGTGACCGCGCCATGTTTTATAAAAGCAACAGCTCATTTATATTATCAGATTAATATTAAATCTGTGGCTTTAGTAAAAAAAATGCTGCATTTTTATAACACAACAATTAGCAACCAGTTGTATCAAATTAAGTGATCTCTGTAAAGAAATGTAGCGAATAATTGGCAACCGTGAAGTCGAGCCCATGGGTTAAAAAATAAATTCCGTGAGTAAATCAAGTCGTGACCGATCCAATATTCAGGGTTCGTGAGAAAATCCGCACCCAAACATAGTTTTATAATTAAGTAGATCGATCTCAATAAAAAATATAAGTCAAGGCTTAACAACAAACCACTACACACGCAAGTGCCTAGCATTTATCTACGTACGTACACAGAGAATTGATAAAACAAATATTTTTTTTAACGATCGCATAAACCAACAATTTACAAATCACGATAGTCGGACATTACACATCGTGAATCCGGCACTTATTTTGTCATCACTTCACATGTGCAGTCACGATCGTGGTATCACAACACTGCGTTTACAAATACGATGGCTTAGTTCTGACGTTTAATTCGGTCGGTGATATCTCGCGGCGCAGAAGCGGCGAGAAGGCCGCGCGTCGGAAGCTGTGAACTAACTAAACTACTAAGCTATTGTATGCAGGTGGATTGTAGTACGTCCGTTTGCCTTATTATGGCCATTTTCCATTCACACAGTGGGGCAATCCACTCGTTTTACTCCGATACTTGTCGCAGTGCACTGTGGCACACACGCTTCACAGTAGCACTCGTTCGTTTCGCCAATGTCTGTGCAAATCGCGTGTCAAGGTGATAAGGTATTAGCATTGCGAATCAATGTTTAAACACCGTGTTACGTGTGTAATTTTGCGCTATTTCTACAATATGCTTCTAAACAATTTGTTTTCACGTGTAAATTGATTTGTCTGGACATTTTATTTTTGACACGTTTATGGAATTTATACGAGTGCTGCTAATAGAGACCTAAATGGACATGCCAAAATGATTTTCATTTATTATTGTGATAGGTAACAGTCGCAGTCAAACGGTTCAATGTCTTTTTGTATTTGTCAACTAAAATCCCTGGGGTTGCGGGTTAAACACAATTATGTAACGTGGTCCCCGCCTGGAGCAGAAGAAGGAATAGGATTTTTAGTTAGTAAGAGTCTGACACTCCTTCTCAGGATCCAGGGCGGGAAAAGGAATTTGATGTTTTTTTTTCTCCTCAAAAAAAAAGTTCCAACATTTCTTTTTTGAACTTGTCAAAGTTGTTTACAAAATGATAAAACCAACACTACAACACTTTCGTCTAAGCGATGAGGAAATATCCTCGGATAAGTAAATATAAATAGAAATATCGTAACACTCGACATGACAATAGAAACCCCACGATTTACACGATACGCGAATATTAAGGTTCACTAGTAAAAACAGCAGATAATTCAAATAAGAAATCGACAAACTATGCCGTTAAAAAATATTTTTACAAATACATTTAGGTACATCATATTGAAATAATATATTCGATAAAAAAGAATAATGACACTATTTTGTTTGAGATTCATATTTTTCTTGGCCAACATGCAACGCCATCTAGTAATAACAAGCTGAAGTACCAGAAA